TTCAGCTAGTGTTCTGTTACTTTTAGCTTTCAGCTAGTGTTCTGTTACTTTTAGCTTTCAGCTAGTGTTCTGTTACTTTAGCTTTCAGCTAGTGTTCTGTTACTTTTAGCATTAGCTTTTAGTTTATGTGCTTTAAACGTTTTGCTCCTGGTTCTGGTTTCTCTGTTCAGGTCCCGTCAGACCCACAGCTGCCTCACTGTAAACCTGGACCAGACCGTGAACCTTCAGGTCCTGAATCCAGACCTCAGACCCGGTCCACGCAGACCCGGTCCAGATCCAAATCCAAAAAGAAGAAGGCCGCAGGAACAAAGACAGCTAAAATCGCGCCGCCGGCACCGACAACGCCGCCTTTTGACTTTGAAGGTTACCTGAGGGAAAAGGACAAGAGGACCTTTCAGCTGCTGGTGGACCAGCCGAAGAAATGTGACATCAGAGAGGAGGAGGAGGAGGAGGAGGAGGGAGGAAGAAGAGGAGGAGGAAGAGGAGGAAGCAGCTCTGCTCCGTACCTGCTGATCGCTGTGAAGTCCACAGCTGCAGATTTTGACAAACGACAGGTAAGAAAACAGCTGCAGCTGATTTATTTATCTTTATTATTTTAGGTTTTATTCTTTTAGGTGGACCCCCATCAGTGAGACCACCTCTGGTCCTCTGGGTCAGGGTCTGGATCCAGTTTTTCACTGTTCAGTACCAACGTGTTAGACCCGTTACATAGCAGACCTCCTCTGACTTCCTGCTGCAGGTGGTCCGACAGACGTGGGGCAAGGAGGGGGTCTTCCAGTCCGGGGTATCCATCCGGACCGTCTTCTTGCTGGGGATCCCCAGGAACCGCAGCGCTCTGCCTCTGTGGGACCGGCTCCTGGCCTACGAGAGCCGGATCTTCAGGGACATCCTGGTCTGGGACTTTGAAGACACCTTCTTCAACCTGACCCTGAAGGAGACCCACTTCCTGGACTGGGTCAACAGCAGCTGTCCTCACGTGAGGTCCGTCTCGAAACTGGGGCGTTCTGGTTCCGGACCTCAGGGTTCCGCAGGTGACTCAGGTCTGCTCTGATTCAGGTTCGTCTTCAAGGGAGACGCTGACGTTTACGTCAACGTGGAAAACATCCTGGAGATGCTGCGAGGCCGAGACCCGGAGGAGGATCTGTTCATGGGGGACATCATCGTCCGAGCCAAACCCATCCGCCGCCGAAACTCCAAATATTACGTTCCTGAGTTCCTGTACGGCGGCGCTCTGTACCCCGACTACGCCGGAGGAGGGGGCTTTGTGATGTCGGGACACACGGCCCGGAGGCTGGGCTCGGCCTGTCGACAGGTAGAAACAAGAACAGGTTCCTGCAGATCCTTAAAAAGTCTTAAAAGTCATTGAATCAATCCAAAAATAAGGCCTTAATTAGCCTTAAATGGTCTTAAATCGATCTTCAGAAGCAGTTCTGGGCACCAGCTCGCTAAAGCGCAAATCCACTAATTGCGGACCTAAATATTTCATTTGCGCTTTAGCGGTCTTTTTATTTTTTATAGTTCATAAGCAGATTTGTGCTTTCTAAAATTAAAAAGCAGTACCACTAATAACTAATTATCTACCAGTCATCATTATGTTGAACAGCAGAAGGTATGACTGTCAATGAATCACAACATGTGATCTATCCAACAGCACCCCTCCCAGATAAACACTCTTATTGTGAAGGTATACATCCTGCTGACTGTTGCTTTGGGTCACGGTTCTCATTTCCCACAATGCTTTGTGTCTGCTTACGTAGCAGGAAGGCAACAGCAAAAACAGTAAACGTTTGTAATCCATACTAAAATTTTGTATGTATTGATTTATTTTACTTTACTATTGGTGCTCCTTTTTTAAAAAATAATAATAATAAAGTTTAAACGCTGGAGCTCAATACTTGATGTAATTGGTCGAAGCAATCGGCCAATGGGGTTAGAGACGCAGAAATGATTTAAAGATGTTATGCTGATGAAGACTGACATCTAGTGGTCAACTGGAGCAACTACATGGAAAACTTCAAAGTCCAACCTTGCTCTTATTTTGAAGGGAAGATAGTTTCCTGTACTCCGTGCTTTCGTTTCTCGTCACAAATCAAATCCGTCATGTACCCAGAATGCATTGCTTCAGTTTACCAATAAACAGTTTTAAAATTACTTTATTGATGAAATGAAAAATCTACAACAAACAAAAAAAACGACAAAGAAGCAGCCGAACTAGCAATCCTCAACAACTTTTTAATTTTTACACCAGGAGCTAAAGGTCTTTTTCAGGAAATCACATCCCCAGTAATCAGCGGTTGTAGGATTAAGTTGTAAAAGAATTCATACACCACTAGTTGGCAGTGTTGTGCACATATTGTACATGAATTATCAGCTAGTGAGTGTCAAATTAAACTTGCGCTTTAAAATTAGCTTTCACTAGTTTTTCTATGGCATAAGCGCTTTTGAAGTCGCGGACCTAAATATTTTCATAAGAGTTTTAGAAAATGCGGGCCTAATTTTTGGATTAGCGCTGCCCACCACTGTTCAGAAGTCGTAAAGATATTAAGACATTGTAAGTAGGATGGCTGTAATTCGTATCAAATATTAAAATATTTGCTAACATTTATTTAGTTTTGAAATTTTCCCATTCAGATGTTCCCCTTTTGACATCACTTCCTGTTATTTCACGTGAAAATATCTCATCGACCATCCATCTGAGCAATGTGAAATTTGTTTTCTAATATGTTAATATTGTTGTCTTTCCAAAAATGCATTCATATTTCTTACCAAAGTTTAATGTCATTTGTACTTTAAGGTTTCATCTACAGCAAGCAGGGGTTGAGAACCCACTCTGGGTCATAAAACTACAAATTTTGGGTCATTAGTTGATTTCCAAGAATTAAATTAAGTTTAAAACTGACTGCCAAGAATGTTTTTTTTCTATATTTGACAAAATAGCTGTTAGATATGGATAAAAACACTTAGCCTATTAACAATATTTGAATAATTCAGTCAAAAATTCGTTGATTCATGAGTTTCTGCCACAGTATTATTTTTTTTTTGTCATTTTTGTTTATTTTGAAATTGGACTTAAATTTGATTTCACTTGGCATTAAAAAGTCTTAAATTTAACTGAAACTGTAGGAGCCCTGAAAAGGTTCCAGGTGGTCTTCCCTGACTCGACTCTGAATCCTCCTCCAGGTGGAGCTGTTCCCGATTGACGACGTCTTCCTGGGGATGTGCCTCCAGCTGATCGGCGTCAAGGCTTCCCGCCACCAGGGCTTCCGGACCTTTGGGATCCCCCGGCCGTCGGCGGCGCCCCACCTCCAGACGTTCGACCCTTGTTTCTACAAGGAGCTCATGGTGGTCCACAGCCTCAGCGTCCCGCAGATCTGGCTCATGTGGAACCTCCTGCGGGACCCCAAACTGAGCTGCCACAACCGGCCCAGCCCCAGGTCCGGACCCTTCCAGTGGAGGACGGAGGACGATTACGGTGAAAAGACGGTGTTTGTGGGTCATTAGGACGGAGCTGGCGTGTCGAGTTTATCGAACCAAGATGGCCGATGATCTGGAGGGAAATGAGTCCTCAAAGAAATCTGCTCTGGATTACTGAGACAGGAAGCCAGATGTTTAGGTCTGGAGTTCAACTTTAACAAGGTGAGAAGAAGAAATGAGCTTCCACAGAGTGGTTGGGATGTAACATAAAATGAAACAGATTATAATCTCAAACTTTATTTATTCACCATATTTTATGTCAGCAAGCTGTGAACGTAAGTGGAATATATAAAATGATTTGATTCAGCTTCAGGAGTCGATACAGAATAAAGATTCAACAGAAAATGAAGATTTTTAATCTCATTCAGGATTGAGGCTGTAATCTGTCAGCAGGTCTGTTTCTGTTGTTTTTTTACTGGAACTGGAGATTTTGTGTTCTGATCACAAACAGAGACGCTGCTCTGGTTTCATCTGTCGCCTGGAGGAACTGCAGGGAAAATATGAAGCAGCTGCATCACACACACACACACACACACACACACACACACACACACACAGACACAGACGGGCGCAGACAGCTGATCTCTCTG